AAATTATCACGAAAATATATATTGAATATAGTTACAAAAATATATATTGAATATAGTTACAAAAATATATATTGAATATTATCACGAAAATATATATTAAATATAATTTAAAAAGTATATATCGAATATAATCATACAATTAATCACAAAAATATATATTGAGTATACTCGTGAAATTTTCGTTAATTTGACTTGATTCGAATTATGTATTTAATTCAAATTATTAACTTAATTCAAATGAATTATATAAATGTCGAAATTACCATGTGAACTTTTCAGTATTTGTAAATTTTTCGGCGATTTAATCACAAGGAGAATACAAATAAGCATTTAAGCATTTAAAACATTCGTTCGGTTTATTGCCGAGGTAGATGCAGCTTTGCCAAAAGTGACGAGAGTTTTCAAAAGGGTTAGGTGATTACTTTGATAGCTTTTGGTTACGAAATTGTTTTTTCCACTGTTTGATACAGAATTGTACAATTCGTTGGATTTTATACATTATTTAGAACATTGAAGACCTAATTATATCTTAAATTTTAATTTTACCAACACCAGATCTATCTGAGAATCGACACTTAACCAAAACACATTTCTTTTTTTTTGTTTATGATGGCGACTGATACAAAGAATTCCACATGACGCTCCTTTAATCAATCTTTAAATGATTTAAAGCTCTTGTGTTCAAATTTGAATATGTGTATAGGTTAAGCTCTGCTACAAGTGCTATGGCGGGTACGTCTAGCTATGATACTCGTTTATCAATACACACTACTTGCAGCTTATTATGATAATTTTATCCCCAATTACTTCCTGGATGAAATCAACCAGAGCACTGACGCTAATACTGTCACATACGACAACATTCTGTAGGTAACATGTGTTTTTAGACGTCAATAGTCAGAAAATAATGAATGATTGTTTTTTATTTCTTTGTCTTTCTTTGTATTTTTTTTTTTTTATTTGAATTAACTTTTACAGAGAATTTACAGCAATATATGTTTATTATTTTATGTTATAAACATAACACTGTAAAGATTTCATTGGCATTATTAGATATCCTCATCACTCTATATAAGATAATTAAAGAAAGGGTCCAGAGATTTGAGAAATGTATCTGTATTGAAAGTATATCATCTAAGATTAAAATAAAACTTTTTTGAAAATCGGTTTGCTGGCTATAAAGATATGACGCGTGAAAGTTTGGAAATACACACCTGCCAGCACAACCCGTATAGGGTATTTCCTTGTTACTAAAAATAGACGTGACGTAGTCGAAGTAACGATTCTGTCCAGTAATGGCCGCGTGGAACTGGTAAACAATGGAGTTCGGCAGTGTTTCAGAATCAGAAAGCGAACAATCAGACCTATCGGCCCTATCCGAAGATTTTGACACAGAATCCAATGCTGAAATCAATGGAACCAGTAGTTTCGAACCATATAAGATTGAGCCATTAGTTTCCGATGAAAAAGAAGTTAGCGGTACCGATGATGGCAATGTTGTGAGTGAAGTCAACAAAGAAAATGAACACGAAAGTCAAAGGCTTTATTCATCGGACTGGTTAGTATCAACCAAAAAAATAAAACGCCAAAAAAACACAGATGGCAAGCGTTTTATTAGCAAATATGAAATTTAGGCAAAAATATGGGAAAGGTCTAGTGAAGCAGAACAATATCCTTAGTCGTTGAAAGGGGGTGGGTGTTGCAGTCAGTCGGTTGATTACCGATTTTAACATCCTGGATTTGAACCAGTTTGTTTGAACCCATTTGTTTTGGAAACGGCATACCTACAGTACAGGCAACAATATGGAGATACAGAAGAGACTGGATCAGGGTATGTAAATATGTATGTTTGAATACCAATTGAACTCACTCTTGTATCTGTTTTGTCATGCAAGCCAATCAAATTAATGTCTCATTCTGCTCTGTGATTTTTTGAATCTTAACGTACAGTTTGTAATTTCTTTCAGGCGTACCCGTTATACAGCCTACAGACAGTTTGCTAGATGGTGTTGGGGATATTAGTCGCAGCCTCCTTTATTGGTAAATTGTAAAATCTGCAAGCCAATCAAATTAATGTCTCATTCTGCTCTGTGATTTTTTTAATTCTTAATAACATAAAGTTTGTCATTTCTTTCATGCGAATAAAAAAAAAGTTGTTATCTGAAATTTCATTTATTAGTAAATCGTGAAGTTTTCATCTTCACAGCTTCCTCTTTTTGTGGATGGAAATAAGTAGAACATAATGGTGGTGGCACATTCACGTCTATTCTTGTTCTTTACAAAGCCTGAAAAATACAAGATAAATGTCTTAAAACAAGTTGAACATAACTTAAAAGAACATAAGTTGATATTATATGCCATGTCGCAGCCTCTTTTATTGGTATGCATTCATAGGGCAAAGGTCATGAACAACATCTAATTAATTTAAATGCATCAATAGCAATAGCATGTTATTAATATTTACCTGCTGTAGTAGAGACCTTGTTTTCAGAAATATCTTGGAAAGATGTGGTAGCATGATCTCCCAATGATGAATTTTCAAAATCACTGACATTCGAATTAGATTGATCTTCCTCATCACGCATCATCTAAAGAAATTATGAATATTTAGATTGGTCCAGAAAATGACATTGGAAATAGGAGTAGGAAAGTTATGTCCATATTTTTCAGATGCCCATCTCTAACTAGCCTAATATAGCTCAGAAATATGGGACATTAATAGTTAAACTCCATTAGGCCATATTATAGTAATACAAAATAAGTCCTCTTACCCTTAGAACATCTCTTTTGTGTTACATACTGAAACTATTTTCGGGTAGATTGATGGTACCGATCCAGGAAGAAGTTTCTTACATTTTTCGGTGAAGCCCAATGCCTGTTTGATTTTGTATTTTTGGTCGTAACATTCAGAAGCAAAGTGGTCTTCACATATGGTTTGGTGTCTCGTTGATTGAGTAAAGTCGGCCCTCGATAGATTAACAAACCGTGTCCAATGAGCCCTCAACATGTTTTCTTTCGGAAATTTATTTACTGGAACACCATCTTTGTTGGTATTACTGCACCCCGCTACAGCATTTCGCACCGGCATGATAAAAACTTATCAAAGACAAACACAAACACAAAATTCTACGCGCTTTCGTACTGTAGGTTAGAACTTCCGGTTCTTCTCGCTTACGCCGACTACGTCACGAGGGGGGATTCCTTAAAATCCAATCAGCAAGGTATAAAATTCGGGATATTCGTCTTTTATCGGCAATATCTCGGTAACGCGTCGGAGGACGATTCTCAAATTGTCTGTGTCTTTAAAGGCGATAGGGACGATTTATTTAAGGCAAAGTCAAATCTCTGGACCCTTTCTTTAAATTTATTTACTGTGATCTCTACCCCTAAATGTCGCTAAAGGATTATTTACGTGATCAATATGGAGATTCGACACTTGAGGACTTTTAGTTATGTAATGTGATCTCTACCCCTAAATGTCACCTTTTCTGGCATTATAAAGTCGCAGATCTTGAGATTTCACCGAATTTGTACGCGCAAGAAGGACTTCGGGGAGGCTTGTTTAATTGTTTTCCAAAAATTGCGCAAACGTGGATATTCTAGAAGGTTCTTGAGAGGTATTAAAAGCTCAACCGTTGCTGAAATCTCTGCTAAAAATAATTCGATTCTTTTGCCAATACCAAATTCTTCAGTTTATCCTTGTAACTACCCTCGCTGTCAAACCTGTCCCTTCATTTTACCAACAAATTCTTTCCGAAATAGACGCACAGAATCCATATTTCAAGTAAATGAAAAACTCAACTGCAACAGCAAAAATATTATTTATCTCATTTCTTGCACAAAATGTGACGAACAATACGTTGGGGAGACAAAAAATTCGTTAAGGGTCCGTTTCAATCATCATAAGTCTGACATCAACTTAAAAAAAATTAATAAAACCGTTTCAAAACACTTCAATCAACCCGATCACCAATTAACAGACCTGAAAATTATTCCCATTGAACAGATATACGAACAACCTGGCATTGATACAAAGAAAATTCGACTCATTCGCGAAAATTATTGGATAAACAAATTACAAACCATGCATCCTTTGGGAATGAACATCCAAGTTGATTTCCAAATTATACCTTTTGTTATTCAATACAACAACACAGCTGGTCAAGTTCCCCGAATAATTATCCGTCTTTACAAAAAATTGCAGGAAAAATTTCCAACAGCCTTTACAAATGATTTAGTTATCGCCTATACCCGTAATAAAAATCTAAATGATATCTTCGTCCGTGGTAGATTACCCCCCACCCCCCTTCCATAGGTTTATGGAAAAGTACATTTCCTTTAATTAATATTTCTTATTTATGATAACTTGCAATTGGAGAGTTTCCTCGCAAAAATATCATACATGTATACTATTTTCACTTAATAAATTATATATATTTTTTATATGANATACGCATTTTCCTTTTCATTTAATATAGGACAATTCCTCAGTTTCACCAGTGAAAATGTTTATCATGATTTCCATGGTTATTAATGTTCCTGTTGGAACCAGTATTCTTCTTA